TTTTATTTTTTTTATTGATATTGATATTAGTTCATTTTAGTCAACCGAAAGCCTATGATGCTAGCGCTGCGTACTTTAGTTTATATAATAATTTGTTTATTATGTAAGCTTTAATAAAATTTAAATAAAGTTCATTTTAGAATATTTTTAATAATATTAGAACACTCTTTTCAGAAAGTATTTTTTAAAAATTATTGATATAAAAAAGTATTTCAGAACCTTATAATTTTATTTAAAAAAAATTTTAAATATTATTTTTGATAAAAATTTTGAACATATCTCAAAATCTCATAATTACGCTCAAAGCATGCACAGCACGCCACCATCGAAGTGTATTAGCAACTTTTCCAATCAAATTCCAATTCTAATGAAAACAATTAAAAAGCGCAAACACTTTAGCCGCTTTGTACACACCGCCCCGGGCGGCGTTATGATTACAACTTTATTTACACTAAGTATGAGCTAAGCACACATGCACATACAGCTGCCGATAATCTTTGATGTCTTATTCTTACTTATTCTTAGCGCACGGCATGCAGTTTTCCCATCAGCTGAAAGCCACTAGTGTGCGTGTGCGTGTTTATTTGTGTAGCTGCGCGCACGGCGAGCGGCGCGCTTTGATCTCGGCAGCGCAGCAACGGCGTGTGAGTGCTTAGCCAAGACTACTCATTACCCATATGCATGCATACATACACACTGAGTAAATTTTCTCCACTTTGAATTTTCCGCGCCACACACTTTGCTTTAACGCAACTATATGCAAACACATACATATGTACATGCATATGTGCATACAGATATGCTTGTGTGTATGTGTGCGCTTTCAGTCCTTTGAAGATGCTCGTGTGTGGCGCTTAATCAAATTGTTACTGCTCCCTTGCTCTTTGTCGCTTCCTTTCGAAATGCTGCCACTCTAATGTCTAAAATAAAAGCAACAAAAAGCAAAACAACAACAAAAAGTGTTAATTCCATTGTGTGCGCCGTCGTTTTTATTGCCACTTTTTCATAATTTTATTCTCACGCATTAAATAAAAAGTGATTTTATTAGCACAAAAGCGCTTGAGCGTTTGTAGCGTGTGGTTGGCTGTTGGCCCATTTGTTTTAGCCGCCGTCGTCAGCATTTTGCGCGCTAATTGCAGCAACACATTTATTTTTCATGCGCGGCACAGATCAAAGCGTTTTGCTTTCGTGGACATCCGGTGGTGTGCTGTGCTTGTGCAAGTATTTTTTGTTCAATTTTTTCTACGGCATTAATTATAATTAGTGTAAATTTTGCTTTAGATTGTTTTTGTTAGCAATTACTGCGCTTTGATGTGTGATATTTTTGCGAACTGAATGTGCGCTCAAGCGTTAGATATTTACTATGGACCAACGCTATGCTCAATATTGTCATTTTATTAATTGAAATCGAACAAATAAAGTAACCAGTCCGTATAAGGTAGTGATTCAGTGGGCCAAACACAATATTTTTGTATGATCGGGGTGCCTTTTGAATTCTACAGACATCTTTGTTCCAAATAAGCTGGAAATTCGAGAGATACTTGAGCCAATTTCCATTCGCACTACGAGCCACACCAACTATGGTGCTCGGATTAGAGTAGACATAACCGGAAGATGTATGCCCTTGAAAGCTGCTGTCAGACTCAAAGGATCTGGCTCCTTGGGGGACTTTGGGCTTGGACACTTTAAAATCCTCGGTTCAATTCCTTTCAAAATATTTGGTTTACCAAACAGCCGAGACTGGCTATCTTCTCTCTGCTCACATACCTTCGAGAAGGGCATGGGAAGAGTGAGCTTTTATACAGCTTCTTGTTGTTCACTACTGCATTGTTGGGCATCGGATTAGCGAAGTCCACCTTTCAATGTTGAGCTTAAAAATTTCACCGATTGGATTTTGCATTAGCTGATTGGAAGAAAATGCGATATAATCACAAAACCATCTAAGCATTTCCTCCTTGAATATCCACCTTTGCCAGTTCAAACTTAAATACCTCAGATTACAAACTTTTCGGCACGCATTTAAAATAGCGGAAATTGAAATAAAACACATAAACTAAACAGATTTGTGATCGTGTAAAGGCTCGTACATAACAGTGTGATCCCGCGCCATGTTGAGGGATCAGCCATCAGTGTAACCTACGCTTCATGTATTAAACCAGTCGAATATGCCATGATCACCCGACCTTACAGGCACAAGTCTTTTCAGCTTTTATGATGAAGCTCCACTAAAGCCACATAATAGAACCATTATTATATCAATTAGCTTGAGAATTTGATTTTCAAAGATTTTTTGTACCTTTCGACTTTGGTGGGGAGTACATCGCTAGCTCTACTTAACCTAACTGTATCATAAATTATTACTTTTATCTCCACATAAACCAAAATAATTGAGTTATTTGGGCAATTTTGCTTCAGCTCAGCATGTGTCCGAGTGTTATTATTATAAAAATTTGTTTATTAACATATAAAATATATATAAAAAAGATTTAAGTAAGATCTTAAATATTTGCTTTAATTTCAACCGAAATCGAATAAACCGAGGAGTCTCATTCCCGGTGTATTTTTCGCACATTTCGTCAAATGTCAACATCCTTCACATGACCACGTCAATCACACAGACGGCAAAATATTTCAAGTCAAACTAAAAATATTTTTTGATCTTTCCTTTCGCTAGAATTTCTTGGCATTGCATTGTTGTCTGCTGCGCTAATTTGATGCGAGTGCTTGACTGAGCGACGTACCTTTTTTCCGCTCACCGCAAGTTTTCAGTTTTATTTGTATTTGGTTTCCACCAAAAGCTGAAGCCAAAATCGAAAGAATTTAAACGTTCTAGTTTAATACTTTTTGTAAATGTCATTTTAATCTTAGCCAGTTTTCGACAAAAACAAAAAAAAAAACATTTTTTCAACCGTCTAATAATTTATTTTGTGTTTTTTCTCTTTAATTCAGATGACGAAACTGCTGCCGCTAATCGAATCGTCCTGCTCGAATCGAGCACGCTTTCTGCTTTGTTCCTCGCTTTTTCCGCTTTGCACACCCGATGTACCGCGGCCGGTCACCGCTTGCAAGCAGCTCTGTGAGACGGTAAAAAGTGAATGCGAAACGCATGCTGAGCTCATGCAATTGTGGCCCGACTTTCTCAATTGTGACACGCTGCCGCAGCCGGAGAAACATGAGCTATGCATGCAGATCCCACAAGAGTCCGAAAAGCAGCAGACGAACATACAGGCACATCCACCCTCACCACAGCCACAATTTCAACAGCCAACACAGTTCTATTGGCCGTGGTCCGCTTGGAAAATGCCGCCACATCTGAGTAAGAGCATCGCGCCCAGCGCCATCTGTCCACTCAACTTCACCGTCGACACCCTCAACGCAGAACTGTGCGTGCCGCAATGTAACCGCGATGCATTTCACTCAACGCAACAGAAGAAAATTGCCGAGGGTCTAATACTCGGTCTCTCGGCAGTGTGCTTTGTTTTAACACTCTTCTCGCTGGTCACCTTCTGGGCTGAGCCTACGCGGTTTGGGTACCCCGAGCGTCCAGTGCTCTTTCTCTGCCTCTGCTACAACCTCTTCAGTGTTTGTTACCTGGAACGCATCGTATTTCACAACTCTACGCGTACGCTGGCTATGATCGAAGATCCGTTGGGTAAAATTAGCGCCGCCTGCTCCGTAACGCCGCCCTGCTTGGCCTCATACATCACCACAAGCTATCTGAGTTTGTGCGCCGCCACCTGGTGGCTAATTTTTGCGTTATGCTTCTTCCTCTCATCGCATCAGAAGTGGTCGAGTGAGGCGCTCGAGAAAAACTCCGGTCTATTTCATGTGCTAGCTTGGGTGCCACCACTGGCGCCACCAATTGCCGCGCTCCTAATGGAACAGGTGCGCCCGAACGAGCTGACAGGCATGTGCACAGCTTTCGGTTTTGTGGAGATACCCGCTTTGGTGCTGCTATTGCTCGGCTTATTTTTCACAGTACGCGCCTCCAGATCGCTACATATGCTGCAACAACAAATTAAACCTATTTTCGGACATCAACGCTTTTCGCAAATACGCAAACGCTTTCTAATATTCTCGTTGCTCTTCTTCATGCCGACAATAGCGGGCGTATTGACTTCATTTTTCGAGCGCTACATCGACACGGTGCCCGCTTGCTCCACGCACGAAGACTGCGCACCGCCAGAGCAACGTACCGCTTGGCCGACGCTTATACGAATATTCTTTCAGTTAGCGGGTGGCACATTAACCGGCATGTGGGTATGGTCGCGGAAGACCTGCGAGTCGTACCGCAGTCGGCTGGTGGCCACGCCCACTTCTTCGACAACAACTAAGTCGATCTCATCGCTGCCGAAGAAGCACATACACACGAATGGCAAGTCGGTCAGCAGCGCTTTGTATAGCGGCATCAACTTCCACAATGTACCGGTCTATAATCCGAATCAAGCGCACGTGTAGCGCTTAATGCTGGGTATACCTGGAAACAGTGTTGCTGCTGAGCAACAACACAGTCCGAGGGAGGGTGTATATACTTTGGGATTATATCTTTAAGGAAATTACCGTTAATATAGTTTACACAAGTTATCCTTTTAACTTCTAAAGGCTCGAGTATTATCGGGTGATTTTTTTGAGGTTAGGATTTTCATGCATTAGTATTTGACAGATCACGTGGGATATCAGACATGGTGTCAAAGAGAAAGATGCT